CAGCTTATACTGAAGTTCCTCCCTTTAGAATTTATCTGGACAATGCTGTTGTTTTAATGCACATCCTGAAGCATGAAGAATGTTCTGCCATAAGGTAGAAAGTTCTTTCTCTGTGACACATCACAGTGGTAAGCACCAGAGGACAGGCATCTAGTTACACAGTCAGCTCTTTTACAGGATATTCTGGCATGAAAGTGGTTAGAAGAAGCATAAATATATCAATATGTTGTCGAAGGCTTTCACAGCCGGAGTTCATTAGTTGCTGTAGCTGCGAAACGTCAGGTTCTACAATGCCAAGACCACGGCCACACAACCCGGAAAATCTACAGCGACTAATAAATGTATCAGCTTTTCAAATGGGTGACCCTATCTGGTGACCCTAGAAGGGAAGCAACAAGACAGCTGTTACCATTTTGGGGTGCACTCTCACCGTTTTGTTGGGCCAGTTATACTTCTCAAACACATCCTGCACTCGGTCTTCTCCTCCATCAGTGAACATCATGATCATCTTATTGCAGTTGGCTCTTGTGATGTTGGACTGCAAATAAGAGGCAGATATTTCAATGTGTGCAGTACTCAGAGACAAGGTGCTACACTAAAAGAAATTGTAGGAATAGGATGGTGAATGTTTCTGTGCATTTAATACTTCTTAGCTGAAAAAAATGCACTTACAACCACCACCGGAATTGAGATTGTATTGTACATACTAGCTAGTTAGACAGTGTGTGTATGGGTATCAAAATAGGCAGCTGTACTATTGTCCTTTCTAGACTAGAATCAGGTTTATCTGAGACTGTTTTGGACAGTTACTTCCTCTATGTAAGGGGAAAACTACCAGAAAAAATCTGACAGGCATGTGCCTATTAGTCAACATCATGTACTGAAGGGCAGGAAGTCATGACCAGTTATCTGATTACCTAGACCCAGATTTTTTTTTACATTGTCTCTCCAGGGAACCTGCCTGATGCAGCTTCCAAAGAAGAAGAGAGAAATAAATAAATGAAAAATTATTAATTAAAACCCAGCATTAAAAACCCAGCTACAGCACACAAACACATACCTCCAAGAAGCTTAAAATAACAGTTTCCAGACTAAAAACCACATTAAAATGGACTTAAAACATCAACCCCTTAATTAAAAGCATGGGTAAACAGAAATATTTTGGCCTGCTACCTAAATGAGAGCAAGATAGGTGCCAGGCAAGCCTCAAGTAAGTGTGTGATATGATAGATACGTGTTTTCCTATGCAGAAGCAATACCTAGGTACCAAAATCACCATAAAGTCAAGCAACATTCAAGACATTTAGATATGTTAGGGCCAATGAAGGGAATGTTAGGTTTCAGATCTGAACAAACACAATTGTAGAGGGTTTTTTTTTTAAAAAAACACCACACCAAACCGTGTTTGTGTGCTTAAGAATAGGCTGTAGTTTCTCCCATCCCCCTCTTCATACCACGAAACTGGCAGTGAGAAATCTGTTTTCTTTAGCTGCTTCTCCAGGGGTGAAGGTGGTACAGATGAACAGAGAGAAGGAGGGACTGTCTGGACGGAAATTATGTTGTGGCTATTACCGCTCAGCGATTAATAGGGCTATTCATCTTTATTTTGCCCAACGTCACTGTAGCCCGTCTGATCCGAGCCCTCTGAGATGGGCCCTGCTAACTCACTAATGAAATGGAAGAGGCAGCTGCTCCCATTAAAGCCTAAGAATCAGCCACTGAAGATTCTCATTTTTCTGGGGAGATGTAAACCGCACCACAGCCCCAGGACAGCCCTTTTCTCAAGGCACAGGCATCCTAATGATGCTGACAGTGTGGATATGGTAATCGCCCCATTTGCCTCTGCAACTACTATGCCACCCAGAGAAATTTATTTATTTTATGTGCTGGAAGTGAAGGCACTTTCAGAGTGGTGGTGGTGGTGGTAGTGGTGGTGGTGGCAGCATTTCAAACTATTACAGCATCTCTGCTAGCATGAGATGTTGAGCTCAGTTTGCAAAGGTTTCTGAGTCAGACATGTTGGCACCTGCAGGTGGGAAGATATTTGGGGGCTTCAGTTGTCATTAACATTCTGGGGCATAAAGTCTTTTTCTCAGGTACTCATGTCAGAACAGATTATTGTTCTGGGCTAATGGATGACAGGCCGGAGGGGGTAGGGTAGGGTGGGTGAAAAGAAAGGGTCAGTATCTCTGAACTGTATTGGTGGTTCCAATGTGTAGCAACTTCAGTAGAAATGGAGCCATGGTTTGGCAGATACTTGGATCTGGGATGGGGTCAACCCGAAGACGTGGGGGTTTTTTTGGCAGCGGAAACTGACAGCAAAGACTGAAAGTCTCCAAGGTGGTGAAGAGAAAAGCTGCAACTGAGAGACTGAAAGAATGAATCTGCCCAGGGAGACAAAGCAAAGTGAGAAGATTGTGGCTGGCACCACACATGTCTCTACGTGGACAAAACAGATCCTGCTCAGTGAAATAACTCTCTGTGGCTACTTTAGGGTCAATAAAGACCAGTTAAGGAAAATACCACCGGGAGATATTGTGTAGGCTGAAATCCAGCACCTATAGAACTGACAAAAAACGTGCCAAGACCACGGCCATACAGCCCAGAAAATCTACAACAACTAATAAAAAAAATTCCACTAAACTGACAGGGAATGGAAGAACTTAGATTCATACTTAACTGCATCTTTGTTTGTACTAATGTGTCAGAGAAATGAAGATGATGGCTTCAGTTCACGCAGCATTTCACCAAATATGACATGAAACTGCCTTATAAATTGCCATACTATTCATCTATCTAGGTCAGTATTGTCTACTCTGCTCGGCAGCAGCAATCTGGAGTTTCAAGCAGAGGCCATTTGTTTCACATACTGCATTACCTGATGTTGCCAAGTATTAATGGGGGCGTCTTCATGCAGAGCATCTACCTGGAACCATTTTCATACACAGCATATGCTATATCACTGAGCCATGGTGCTTCCCCAATGATGTAATCCTAAGGACTACTTCCCATTATGTTTTTCCTACTTAACATTTGAAAACGTGTGTGGGGAAACATTTGGAAAATCAGTGTTCTTGGAATGAAACATGCCTCATGCAAAGCTTCTCTGCTGTTTGCATGTTTCACACTCACATCCAACCATTCCCCCACTTTCTTACAAGCATCTTGTTTGAATTCTAAATTTCCTTTTCTGACAGGCCCCTCCCGCCACTTAAACCTTTTGCTTACGTTCTGCAGCTGCTCAAAGGCATACTCAAAGCCTGCTTTGTAATCCGTAGTTCCTTGGGCCACCATTATCTCCACATCTTCTTTGAAGACCTTTTTGTTGCGGATATTTGCTTGGACTAAGTGCTTGAAGCATGATACAGGTTGTGCATTTTGGTTAAACTGGAAAGCAAAAGACAGAGAGTTGCAATGTATTAGAAGGGGGAGAGACAATATAAAAACCACAAATGGCATCCACTACCCCCAGACTTGCGTGTACAGTGAATAATGTATCCATAAATATTGAGGGGGGGGGTAAGTAATATGAAGGGTATCATTATCACTACATCTAACAGTAAACTGGCTGTGGATGATAAAAACTCCTGTGTGGATAATAAAAGCCCAAGAAGTTGGCCTCCTAAATGCAAGACTGGAGCCTTTACTGCCTCAGAGGACTTCCCAGGTATGCAGAAAATGTGACTTTCAATATTAACCAAAACAAAAGAAAATCTCCTCAAAATGGCTTAGTGAGGGCTGAATATACTCCAGAAGAAATGGAACATTGATGACAGCAAAGTGTAAAAGAGGAGAGGAAAAATCAACCTATTCAAACCCCTGAGAGCTAAGAAAATCATGGAAAAAAGATTTTGGAGGGATTTAAAAATTCTCCCTCTTCCGTGATTCCTTGAAGGTATCCAGTTTCTCACTAAATCTAATAGTAAGATGGCGGACATGTTCCATGTGCCAATCACAAAAGCAGCAAAATCAGGCCACTCAGAGACAAGATGGGGAACTTTACATACTTGGGGCCTCCCCAGCTATGCAGACTCTATTAATTAACCAAAAAGAAAAAGACATCCCTCCCCCCTCAAAAGACCCAGCCTGTTGGCGACTGAATAAATTCCAGGAGTATAGAATGTTGACAGCATCTGAGAGTCAGAAAAGAGCACATACATTCTAGCACAGAGGTGTCGAACTCACTTGCTACGAGGGCCGGATCTGACATAAATGTCACTTGGCCTGGCCATGTGTGTCATAAAACGTAATGCCAGGTACTGGAGATATAAACTGTATAAAGGACAGCAGCCGGTAAGCTCTGAGTAGTTGTATCCTCACTGCAAGACCCCGTGGGCTGGGGGGGGGGTGCAGAGGAAAACCCATATGGGCAGATTGGAGAGCCAGCGGTGCAGCACAGGGCATACACACTCACACTGTTTGACTGCTGCAGATGAGGTTGCCACTGTACAAATGACACAATCAGAGTGACTCTGCCCACTCAGCCCCCCCCCGGCAGTCTCCTGTTCCCTCCCTTGCACTAGTTGCTTGCAGGCCGCACAAGAGCCCTAGATGGGCTGCTTCTGGCCCCCATGCCTTAGGTTTGACACCCCTCTTCTAGCATATATACCACACCTTTCCAGTTGACAATGTTGCTGTCCTTATTTTAAGCAAAAGCCAGCTTGTGAGGTGGGAGAAAGGGATCGGGTAGGTTGGGATGTGTGTGAGAGTGGTGTGCGGTTACAGACTCTGACTAGAATCTGAAAGGCCTAGCTTCGAACCCCTACTCTGCCATGCAAGCTTGCTGAGTTACCTTGGGCCTGTCAAACTCTCTTCTCCTAACCTATCTGTTGTGAGGATAAAATGGAGAAAGGGGGAATGTTGTAAGGCACTATGTGTCCCTAATAGGGGTACCTAGTCTCCTGCTATTGCTGGAGACCTCCAGCCCCCGCCTCTGCTGAAGCAGTGGAAGAAATTGTGGATGAAAGAGTTACAGTTTTGTAACCAGAAGTGATCGCATACATCACTGCAGCAAAAAAAAAAAAAAACCAAACCCCTCCAACTCTGAGGGTTTCCCATAGTGTTCTGGGGGATTGCTGGAGCATCACAGAGATGTATCACATCACTTCTGGTTACACCACCAGAAGTGACAAGGCAGCCTTACACGGCACCTTGCCCCAAACTCCAAAGCTCCCAGGGGTTGCCAGCTGAGAGTTGCCACCCTAGTTGCCAATGAGGAGAAAAGTGAGGTATAAGCAAATATGGTGATAAGGACATAGACTGTGCTCCTCAAAACCCCATACTTGATAGGGGAGTGATAGTCTTCCTCAGATGATGCCTTGATAACATGCAGAGGCCCCCAGTTCTTGGGGAGGGACTAGTCAGCACTCATGCTTCTCCAAGAACCGCCAGCTTTTTTTTTTTTTGTCTCGCTGAGCATATTAACGCTATGGATCTAAAGTTATTCTCTTTCCTAGGGACCCTGGAAACTATTGTTAGTTCTGCGGGGTGGGCGGGGGAGGAGTTTAGGATCTCTAATGGACTTCTCTCAGTACTCCTCCAAGCTCCAGTTCACAGGATTCTTTGGAGGGAAGCCATGACAATTACAGTGGTAAAATGAAATTCATAGCATAGTTAAGCCCACTATGGGCTATCTAAAGGGGACCATGATAAAGGCTTGTAGTAGCGTTCAGCCTGGCATGGACATGAGTTGGTGTGAAAGAAGGAACTCAAGGCCCGGAGAAGGTGTTTGTGGCCCTCCTACCCCTGCTCCCTGCAAATTTATCCTTCATAGTTCATTGTCCCAAATGTACAAGGAAAGAAGGGGAAACAAAAACATGTGGATAAAAACCATGAGGAGGATTGATGGCTGAAGTAAATAAGTTCTTTACTGAAGGTCGGGGCCTTCTTATTGACAAGGCTGAATTCTGCTCCCAGTTCTGCAGGGGTATAGACTGCAGAGGAGTTCATTGACTTTAATGGAATGATGCGATCTTTTCCCTCAGTGTGTGACTGCGAACGGAATGAATTTGTTGAGAGAGAAAGCTGTGATTACCTGAACACCTCTAGGCATGTTTTCTGCAGGACATTCCAGTGCCTTATCACAAGGTCACAGGCCCAGTAAAGCGAATGCCCTGTGCTGAGCTCCTGTAAGGAGAAGGCTGACTTTTTATTCTGAGAGTTTGGTCAGGCGGGTGAAGCGAGACAGCACTCGCTTTTGCTTATGGCTTAGTTTGCTGGAAATACGGAACATTCATTTAGGAGGCAGTGATCCAGCAAAAGTAACGAGGCTAGACTCGTTAATTAGCACAGGCATGTTCCTTGCCAGACAGCAGGCACATGATGCGGAGAATGATGGAACTCTTCATTTTGTTCCTACTATGCCTTTCTTGAGGCGCAGAGAGAAAGAGGGTTGCAAAACTTTTATCAATGAGGAAGAGGAATGAAGTCATTTAAGCAATGACTTAAATTATACAGCCTTTGAACAGATTTTCAGTGCTAGAGATCAGCTCACAAACAGTAAATAATAACAAAGATTATACCTTGATGTTTATGACCACTGCTTTCCCAGACTCTAACTGCTGATAACCACAACCAACCACATTCATTTGGGACTAGGTTTGAGAATTTCCAAGGCAAAGGCTAAGTAAGCTTGAGCCCTGCCTTCTTGCACTGTGGAAAATAAACCGTTAATGCCAGAGGGGCCAACATCAGGGATAAGAACACCTTGAACTCCACCTTGGTAGTCTGCACTGAAAAAAAGTTAAGGCAACTCACCAGGCTAGCTACCAGTCCATTGCTTCTGGGGTCACTTGCTGTGGTTAAGACTGCTAACTCCTAGCATGGACAGAGACGTTTTAACCCATGGAAATAGCTTCTTGGCTGTGCCCGCCAATGCCTGTGCAAGATCAATCCAAACTTGCATTCAGCTGGTGGTGGGTGGTATTAGTTGTTCAAGATGGCCAAAAGGAGCCCCAGATCATAGCAGCTATTCATTCAATCTGCCATTCACACATGTAGCTTTACTTTGTACTACATCACAAAGTCTATCTTTCCTTTCTGTCCCACTGGTAAGACCTTTAGTGCACAATGCCAAATGATTCATTGCCTCTTCTCATTTGTCAGATATGGAATATAGATTCCTTATATAATACTGGCTGCTGGTTTATTATGCTCAATGAGACACTTTGTTAAATGATTACATTTCTGCATCTACGTCCACAGGACCAAGAAACAACTATTTTGCAATTGCAACCGTTCTGAAACTTTCTGTGTATTGAGCAACTTTTGCTTCAGATTTCCTAAACTCTGTTCAGAGACAGAATGCTTGTAAGTGCATGTGCGCGCGGACAGCAGAAGTCTAGGCTGAAGATAAAGGCTGCCCCACAGCTCTGAAACAAACTGTCCCGTGCCATCCTGATACACACGATCAGTGTTCCCTCTAAGCTGAGTTAGTGTGAGCTAGCTCACCATTTTTTAGCATCCAGCTCACAGATTTTTGTCTTAGCTCAGGAAAGATGGCTCCAGAGCAAACTAATTTATGCAGTTGCCAAATTGCTCGCTCACAACATTAATACCAGTAGCTCACAAAGTAGAATTTCTGCTCACAAGACTCCACAACTTAGAGGGAACATTGCACACGATACCCACTTGAACCTCTCCATGCCGTTAGCCTTTTCCTTCACACACACACACCAAATGGTGTTGTGAGAGAAAGGGTAGTGGCCCTGAAACAGCGGACAAGGAGCCCGGGGTCAATAAGCCTGGCAGAGACTGACAAAGATGCCAGTCAGACCTGGGTGCACCTGCATTTTGGAGAGTGAGGGGGAAGGGCAAAAGAGATGAAAAAGGCACAGAAAGGCAAGAGATGCTGTGATATCATCAGCCCTACAAAAGAAGGGGATAAAGATGGACCAGGCAGAGTACTGCTCTCCATCACCAACAGCACTCTCCTGGCTCAGCAGCCTGTTCAGACAGTCCTTGCACGCAACTAGGTTTGGCAGACCTAACGGTGGGGTGAGTGTGAAGCATGAATGAGCTTCGTGTACATGTATGTTTTCAATAAAGCTTTATTTGATTGAAAGGGGTGTTTGTATTTATGCTTTGTTATGGCCAATGGCTAATACAATAAACTTGATGATGATGATTGAAAGGGTTCTTGCCTGGGACTCTCCACTGCTGGATACAAGCCCTGGAGGCCCAGAGGCCTGCTCTACAGTCTGCTCAGTCCTGAGGTATGAGGTCAAGGGGCTACTGGTGCAGTTTTGTACCTGGCACATTCAGGCCATGGGTTTCCCCCTTTCAGTCCCTCCACTGGCTTTCTAGCTTCTCATAGTGTTTAATGCCCTTTATACCTTTGCCTTGTACCTCTTCATCCTCATAGCTTGGTAAACTGTTGTTTATGAATC